CTAATCCACTTCCAGCAACTTTCTTCCTCCACCCACTCACCAAAATATTCAACACCCAAAACAACTTGTCCCATGTCTAATAATAGCCAAGTACCTATAATGCAAGAAAAAAAATATTATTAACTGATGTATTAAGGGTTAAAAGATTTTAAAAAGCATCTGCAGAATTGCTTAAGCGATCTGGTGTATCCTTTAAGCGATCTGGTATATCGTTTACTGGATCGCTTAAGCAATATAATGAATCGCTTAAACGATCCGGTATAAATAAGTCTGATCACTTAAGCGGTCTGGTATAAATAAGTCTGATCGCTTAAGCAATCTACTGCCATACACCAGACTTATAGCAGATCGCTTAAGCAATCTTCTGCCATTTACCTGATCGCTTAAGTGATCTGTTGCCATAAGCCACACTTATAATAGATTGCTTAAGCAATCTTTTGTCATATACCTAATTGCTTAAGCGATCTACGATGTGTTGCCTTATACTAGACATACCAGATCGCTTAAGCGATACACCAGATCACTTAAGCGATCCATCATATCCAGAACATATGTTCTCAGTTATCTCCACCTACAATCAGTGCTACCACCTGCAGCTTCCCACAATGCAAGAAAATATTCAACTAATTTCACTCCTTTCAACTTGCATTACATTAAACACAACCCAACAACCTAAACAACTAAATCAAAATCAAAATCGTAACCCAAACCCAATTCATCATTAAATCTTTGTAAATCAAAATATAAAATGGAAAGGGGAGATACACATACCTGGACGAAATGTCAGGAGAAGGAGGAGGATCTATGGTAGAGGAAGAAGATAGTGTTAATGGAGGGAAGAAGAAGATGTAGACGAAGCTTAGAAGAAACAACAACCAGTGGAGGGGTGCGTTAATGGCAAGAGGAAGAAGAAGAAAGTGTTTGGGTTTGTTTGCAAGAATTTCGGCTCTTTGGGGACATATTATAATTTTTGAAAGATTACACAATATTTCATTAATCCTAATTAACCACTAATCATGTTTAATTAACCTTAATCAATAATAAGACTATTTACTTAACACTTTCAAACTACATGACCTTTTAATTAAATTTGAACTTGATTTGGCCTTTTAATAAAATGACCCGTAAAAAATCAGGTTTTAGTAAAACAAAGAGGGGGGGTAATAGTTCACTGGTTGGATTGGCGGGTTGCTACAGTGCCCCGATCCAACCGTAGGTTCTTCCGGGTGAAATCATCTGCCTAGGTTTTATGTCATCTCGACCTGACTTATTTGTCAATTCTCGGTTGAGCCAGTTCAATCGTTCATTTTGGGTCGGGTTTTATATCCTTGGTGTTTAGGTATACAGTTTAATATTCTAATATATAACTATTTATAATAATTAAATCATATTATATTCATTGTTTAATTTAAAATTAAAAAGCAAATATTGGAGGGAGCTTTAATGGGTCAAGTTTAGGTAACACTATGAAAATAGTGTTTGGGTTTAGGTTTTCATATTTAAACCTAATAAACTAACATGTTGGATTTTGTGTAAGAAAATTTGACACAACATGAAGTTGTGCGACACGAACCCGTTTCAACATGACCTATTGCTTGGTCTAGATTTAGAATTAGGGCAAACGAATATTATTGATAAAGGTTTTAAACTCTGAGGGTGTGTTTGGTTCAGGGAATGTTGGATGAGAATGTTGTATTAATGGAAAGTTAAATTACCATAAAGATTATTGAGAATCTTTAGGAAAATGTATTTGGTTAGTTGGAATAAATTGGTGAGTATATTATATTAATATGTCTGATTTGGAAGAATAAATTGGTGGGTATGTTATTTAAATTACTAAATTGCCCTCTTTTCAAATATTAATATAATATTATTTTTATTATTAATTTTTGAATAATTTTTTTAACCCTCAATATTTCAAATTTAGCTAAAACACCTTAGTTTATATAAAACTTTAATTCATAACAAAATACCCAAGCCACTATCGGCCGCCGACCACCATCGCTGGCCATCGTCTTCCGCTGCCGGAAGTCATCGAAAGTCATTGGAAATCACCGAGAGTCGTCATGAGTTGCCAATATGGCCTACCATTTTCGTCCATCAATATAGCCGAAAACAACCATATCGAAGCCTCCCGGAGACTTTCGACAACGACCGATAGTGGTTGGCCAGTTGTTGATAGTGGTGGCTAGGTGGCGGTGGTGGTCTGCAATTTGTTTTAAATATAAGGGTATTATTGTCCAAAAACTTAATTTAACAAGGGTAAAATTGTAATGGTGGATTAATATAAATTGATTTTAAAACAAGGGCATTATTGTCCAAAAATTTTATTAATAAGGGATAAAATTGTAACAAAAATAAGATAACCAAGTAATCTTACAATACATAAGAAAATGGAGGTAATCAGATTACCTCTAATATTAACAACAGTAACTACTATAGGGGCGTTTGGATCATATAATGTTTTATTATAAGGGGATATTATATTAACGGAAAGAAAGATCACCTTGAGAATTATTGGGAATGTTTAGAAAATCTGTTTGGTTGGTTCGAATAAATTGGTGAATAATATGTTTGGTTGGGAGGATAAATGGGTGGGTATGTTATAGAGATTACTAATTTACCCTCATTTTTAAATATTAATATAATAGTATTTTTTTTTGAATAATTCTTTTAACCCCCTACTTTTCAAATTTAGCAAAAACACCCTAGTAACCAAAAACGTTTTAAACTTAACAAAAACACCCTTACCCACCCCAAGCCACAGCCAGCATCTTGCCACCATCGCCGGCGGCTAGTGCCACAGATCTAGTCGTGACGCCGACAGTGCCATAGATCTGGCCGTGAAACAACCAGATCTCACTGTTTCCGACTGTGGATCTATGATCTATGGTTAGAAAAGGCCTCACCAGTGCATGGCCGACCATATACGATCGGTCTTACGCCATTATGGCGACTTTCGACAGCCTCCGATGGTGGTCAACGACGGCTGACGGTGGTGGCCAGTTTTGGGTACAATGATATTTCTATAAATAATGACAATAACAAGGGCAATGTCATCCAAAAAATTTAAAAAGTGAGGACAAAAAGGTATGTGTGAGTGAATTGGGTGTTATGTAAATCTTAACAAATATAAGGGTAATTTGGACCAAATGCTCAACTATTTAGGGGTAACATGGGACACAAAATTAGATTACTTGGGGTAAGTTTTAATAACAGGCCCCCCTCCCCTAAAGTAATAATATTCTCGACAACTCATCCCCTAAATGCCACTATTTGTAATAAAAGATTCTAAAAATAATTTTTTACAAATCAACCAAACACCATCATCTGCTCAATGTTAAAAATATTATCCTAGTTATCTAATATTCCCCTCATCCAAACAGACTCTATTGGTATTGGAAGATTACCGAAATCTTATATTACTTAACAACCAAACGTGGTAATCAAATAATATAAGATGACATTACCTCAATAATCCTATATAACCTCCAACCAAACACCCCGTGAGGGTCCATTTGATAAGAAAAAAGGTATCAATAATACATTTTTCAAACTTCGATAGTTTATTTAATAAAAAGTGTGAAAGTTATCATCTGAGTGATAAATTCAAAAACCTGAAAAGAATTAGTCCATGTCCTATGATATTCTTCATGTGATTGATAGATGTTTTCATTTTTTATTTTGTCATTTTATCTTTGATAAAAGGTAAGAAAAGACAAAAGACAATTTTTTTTTTCTTTTTTTTTCCTTCATTTTTAGTAAAAAAAAAATTCAAATGTTTTTCCTTTAGATCGAATGTTTGATAGTCAATTCTCATAAAGAAGATTATTGGTAAAAATAATAAACAAAAAAATTACTTATTGGTGGTACACCTAAATAAAATATCTTGGTTGGTGTAATGCTATACAGAATAATCTAATGAATTGTAGGTATCAAGGTTGGTCCCATTATAAAAAAATAAAAAATAAAAAATTGTCAAGCCAAATGCTTAAACAGGGGCCACTTACTATTCTACCAAATATTCTTTGGATATCTGTTTCCTAAAGGGTTAATTAGTTAGAGCCTTTTTCTTTTATAAATTTTGTGTTTATATATTTTTGTTTTTTAAGAATATTAAAAATAATAGAAAAACATGAAAATTGAAAATACATTCTATATGTTTATCAAAATGTAAAATTTAAAAATAAATTTTATACATTTATTTGAAAACATAAAACATACAGAGAACCTATACAATCAATAAAAACCAATTTAAACTACCATTTATTTTGTTGTGTCTTAAAAAGTTTGTCTCTAGAATATCAATTGCTAGTTTCTGTTTGTCATTTTATGTTAAAAATCTATGATTAGAAATGAAAATTTGTTTTATAAGAAGAAGAAGAGAAAAATTTTATAACAAAGGAACCCACAATCTCTCTCTTTCACCCATTCTTTTCTGCATTTTCTCTGTTTCAAATACAAGAAAAAGTAACCCAACATAGATTTTACAGATTTTCATGCCAAAAAAAAAAAGTATACAAATACAATACAGAGAAATATAGCCGCACCTTCCTTTTGAGTTTAGGAAAATTATAGTCACATCCCTAATGTTTGAACATATATTAAAGAAAATTTGTATTTTATTAAAAGATAATTATTTACACCCCGAGGTTTCCTCAATACACTAAACCCTGTGGTATCAATATTAACTATGAACCCCTTCTTGTTAACATTTTTACGTTAGTTTTAACGAGAGAGGGGCAAATGATCTTTAAATACCTGATCCTCCCCATGCCATGCTTACCCACCCACTCGCCTTTTCGCACCACTGCACACTCCCGGCTTGTCAAACCAATCATAAGCTATCCAGTGTCTGATTGTTCTTGTTCACTTACCTATTTAAAAAAAAAACAGATGCATACAACATGTGGAACCCCCAAAAGTTCAGATTAAACTTGGATGTTAAAATTGTGACAAGTACACTTGAGCTTTCAGATAAATTTCCAAAATGGATACGCTAAAACAATGATTGGAAAACATTTATTACAAGTAAAATAATGTTAACACAAAATTCAAATGCATGGTCAAGTCACGTGACTGTTGTGCTATGCCGGTAAAGCTGCTTCTCATTAACTAATTTACAGTTACAATTTTTACATACAAAATCATGAGACAGAAACAGAATTATACAACTTTCCATAATGACATGGCGTAATGTACTAATTAAACAAATCAATACAAATAATATTGTCGAGACAAAGTAGGAAAAAGGCAAAGTGGGTATTGGAAAATTACTTAATTTTCTTCAAAAATCAGAATGCCCAATCAGCTGTGAGAACAGACATGTACAACAATCATTTCTGCAACAAATCGCATTAAGTCGGCATCAACATTTTGAAATCCCCATATTTATTTATTAGACGCCCATAAAGGAGAAATTAAAAGGAACATAAAAAGAAGAAAAAAAGAATTTAAGAAGGCGCACCTCAGACTACCTAAACTGTGTCTTCCTGCCGGACATAAAATCTAAAAGAATAAATGACGTGTATTATGTGCACGAATAAGACCTCTCAGGTGTTCTATCCACTCAAGTAAGTAACTGCATGTCTGCACGACCTGGGCCTCCTGGCTGAGGCGTAGGAGGTTTAATCAAGGGCCTTAATAAGTCCATGATGGTGGAGAAGGACGGACGTTTCCAAGGCTCGCTGCACCATAAGCATTGTATTGATGAGAAGGAGAATGTACAGAGGGACAACAAGTAAACAAAGTGATTGTAATTCAAAAATTGTTAGGAATTCTAGACTCACTTAGCCCAGCAAGCCTCAATTATCGAAGCTACTCGAGGATTTAAATCACGTGGAATCTCAAGCCTCTTCCCCTTGAAACCAACAGCTGCTACAACCTACAAGGCAACATATGTTGAGTTAAGTCTCAAAACAGAATTTACCCAAAGCTGAATGAGTTATGCTATGAAGTGCTTAACAAAATGCAGATTTCAATCTAGGAGTGAAATAGAAAATCTTAATTGACTACAAGAAAAACGGAAATAAAAAATAAAAAAAAATCAACACAAGCATTATTATGTAAAATATGTGGAAACACATAGTTAAAGCCCGAGTAGGAACTATAAAATTGCATTAAAATATTACATTATTACATTGACAGATATTTCAGTCCATAAGTAACTGTGAACTGTAATAGTAAGTGCCTTAGAAGGGATGAATTTCCTATTGCGATTTTAGGCATTAAAATTTGTAGGTAACAGGAAAAGTTCATTCTAAATAATTGATATGCATTTGAAAAAGTGTGTACAACATACACCAACAAAGTTACCAGCAATCAACATCGACTACCAAATCAAGAGAAAATACATATTATATGAGAAGGTGGAGTCCAGCACGCATTCTGTTGGCTCACATCCAGCCAACTTCTTTTCTTTGATATTAACACAAAAACATATGGGTTTGTACAAATAATTACTGAAGTATTCAGACTAGTTGGTATGTTTTATTGTTTCAATTATTAACGATAAGATGCAATCTCTAATACATAGATACAATTATTTGTTTTGAATACCGGATTCCCATCTAACAACATTTCATAATTTGAAAATTACATGCAAGGCAAAAGATTAAAGAAACAAACTTGTGCTGGATTTAAGTTGCCCCAGGGCTGTTGCAATGTTGCAAGCTCCCACAATATTACACCAAAGCTGTATACATCTGACTTCTCATTTGATGGCTCATCGCAGAGAACTTCTGGTGCCATCCACTCAGGCTGTCATGATAAAAGGAATGAATTAAAATGCAATAAACAGTTCATATGCCACCCTAAAATAAAAGACCGGGGATCATGTTGCTCTTAAGTTAAACAGAACTTACAGTCCCTGCAGCAGATTTTGATGACAGAAAAGTGTTTGCCTTCAAACGGGAAAGTCCAAAATCACAAACCTAGATGAACAGATCAGGTAAAATGAGAAAGATGAATGGTCATTTAGTCAACAATACAACAAAGGAAAGAAGACTTGGAAGCCAGGAAACACACATGCCCACAGAGTGCATGTTCATCATCCAAAGATGCCAACTAGACTAAGAAAAAAAAAAAAACAAAACAAAAACCACTAGAAAAAAAAATGAAAGTAAAAACGAAAATAAAATTTAAAAAAGTAAAAACGAAAATAAAATTTAAAAAAGTTCTATTTGTTTTCGACTGAAACTATCATAAGATATTAATTTTTGCAGCAGATGGTTCCGATATAGATCCAAAATTTTCAATAAATCAATTAGCAATAATTTATGCATTAAAGATATCATACAAACAACACAATCAATTACACCAAACATGATGAGCTCCCATTCATTGGGAACTATGACCATCAAAGCAACCCAAGAATTAAGAGAAACTAAGGGTGATATTAGTGCAAGAAACAACAGATGTGATAACGTACAAGGAAAATCAATGATTGGTCCAGTTCAAAACATGGAAGTTACCACAAGCTTGTCAAACAAAATATAAACACGGAGCTGACTTAAAAAAGCGAGCAGAATAATAAGGTTTCTCAATTCATTGATCATTTAACAGTAAACTGGTACTCTATCTGTGACATGAGAAATTCTCATCCTTACCTTCACTGTATACTTCTTGTCAACCAAAAGATTTGGAGATTTCAAATCTCTATGAACAATGGGAGGATTACGCCGATGAAGATAATTCATTCCCTTTGCCTGCACCAACAACAGTTCTTTAGCTCAAAGTTATGGGCCTAAAATATTAGATAACACTCTTATGATGACAACAAGGATAAAAAGTGAAAGACAATATATTTAAAGAGCAAAAAGAAAAAAAATATAAACTTCTTCAAAACATACCACATCATATGCCATATTCAAACGGCGCCTCTCATCCAACACCTCTCTTGCACCAGGTTTATGTAAAAGCCTATACAAGCTGCCTCTGCAATTTGAAGCAACCATGTTAATTCATTTAATGGATTAAATCCTGATAGTAACAAAAATGTACTGAAATAAATAACAAGAAAAAGGAAAAGCAATTATTTTCATGAGATTTTTTTTTTTCAGGGAATTTCTAGGAAGAAATTATGAACCTTGATAAATATTCTGTCACTATGGATAAGTTTGGGGGCTGAGTGACCGCACCCATAAAAAGAACAATATTTGGATGCCGTAGGCGCTTCATTATTGCAACCTAACAAAAAAAATTAAGAAAAAGATATTGAATCAAGTACATCAAATAAAATAGATTCTTCTGCTTTATATACAATTTACTACGACATACCTCCCTCAAAAATTCCTGAAAGCGTTCTCCATGAAAGTCTTGCTCCATGAGAATTTTCACAGCAACATCCTGTAATTTAAAAAAAGCAAAAAAGTAAAGAAGAAACCAAAAAAAAGATATTACTGTTTAGAAAAAACCAAAAATGAATACCAATGCCAAAACCGGCAATTACCAAATAACTTATATTTCTAATGCCAGGAAACGGAGCACAACAATAAAACTATATATATATATTTGTATAAAAGAGGGGGGGGGAAAAAACTAAATGAAAACTAATTTATTGAGGCATTACATGGGAACCTAAATCAACAACTTGACGGAAAATATTAAAAGAAAATACAAGACATAAGATGGAGCATTCACTCTTACACCAAAGAAACGGTTATATAATAAAAAGTGCTTCCTAAAGAATAACAAATTACATATTCAAAGTGTCCTAACTTGAGAGCAAATTTTGTACTTTAGGCTTCAATCATCACCTGAACATTTCTCAGACAACTGCAGTAATCCAAATAACGGCTTGCAGACAACTTGCATTTTTTTTGAGAAACAAAAACTGGAAACATGCAAAAATCTTCTACTTTTCCAAAATACAGTACCATTTGTTCTTAGAAAACTGTTTCCAAAATAAGCTAATAAATGCGTTGTCGAATTTTGAAAATATAAAATTCAATTTCATTTCACAAAAAAGTTCTCCAAACAGAATTTGGCAAAAAAGTAATGGTTTCTAAAATGTCCAAAAATCAGGAGGTACTGATGAGAACTGGTTATTTTCTACTATACTGATTCACATTCATTAGACAGATATATCTAACGATCTTCATATTTCATCAGAATCCATTAATTGTCCAAATACATGGCATGCACATAAGCAGTCAACCAAACAATGGTAATGCTAAAAACTGTCCACAATGTAACTAAAATCCAGAAGTCCAACAAGATATGGGATTCCACAATATTCTAAAAGGAAAAACAAAAATAGAGAGTCAATCATTTACGAACTAAAGATAATTTGCTTACCGAGCCATGCCAATCAGCACGATGGACAGTTCCAAAAGAACCTGAAAATGCAACAATGAATATATAAGTACACGAGTACAACTCTTACAAAAAAAAAAAAGAACAAGCAGCAGTGCAAGCATAAGAGAAGTGTAAAGTTCATCCCAACTATGAAGCATTACGAGTTTTCAGTCCAGATGTTTCTTTAAGAACCAGGTGAAGAACAAATACCTGCTCCAATTCTTTCTTTTAGGACAAGATCATTCCATGGGATATCTAACTCTTCCACATAAAGGGAAAGGTCTTTACTTGGTTTAGTGGGAATCAATTGAGCACCCTCAGGAAACCTCAAATCTTTAGCTGTATCTACTATCTGATCAGTTAATGCCAAGCATGGTTGACCGTCTGTATGTCCAATAGGTTGGTTATGCTTCATAGGAATTGGATCATTAACCAAGTTTAAAGAGTGAATAATATTCTGAGTGGGATTACATGATTTAAAAAGTTCAGAATCTCTATCATGGGCACTTGGCCGAACTCCTTTTGGAGGCAGAGCTAACTGGGATTCATTGATGCTGCTAGAGAACTGCACAAGGTTCCTCTCTGTCCCCATCTTATCAAATTGCTTAGGATACATTGAGAATTTGTTATCTTCTTCTTCAACAGCAGAACCTGAAATGATAAAACATCATTTGCAAATTGGAAACCTTATACCACATCAACACAAAACCCAAACTCTTGTCATGTAAATATAAAAACATGAAATCATTTCTGCAATGAAATAAAACAAAATAAAGTAATATATGAAATGGCGAAAGATAAAAGGATCTGAACCTATTTGATTAACAATTAAATATGCAAATTCCCCGTTCATTCCTTAGGCAGTTTAAGAGTTCAGATGAAACCACAACTATTGATGCAATAATACTAGCCATCTGTATAAAAGGGTTATACTAGACACAACTGTAACCCATTTTTCCCCCAAAAAAGAGGAACTTAAGACCTCCAATAAGTTGCTACACTTATTAGATGAAAAATCAAGAGCAGCTTCAGTCAAAAATTTCTCCATTAATTTAAAAGAACATGAAAATTGTGAAATCTGTAAAAATCAACACTAGTTTAGTATTCTTTCTACTCAAAACTAGCAGGACCCTCAATAAATGAAATGGTAAAGAGTAAATATAGAAACATGGAGGACTGGAGTGTGGTGTGCTCATACATTGCCTAATTGAAGAACTGCAAAAGGCTATTTGAAGCACCAGTTATCCCATGTGCGGTCAGGTACTTCTTTTTGTAACGTGCTGTTGGCTTTGTTATAAATAGTACCAGAGTCAAACCTGCCTTGCAGGTAGAAGATAAGTATCGAGGGAAATATCTTGAGCTGTGACATATAATGAGATGTTCATTGGGGGTGCTGGGCAAGAAGCATGGGTAATCCCATTCCTATTGAGCATCAGTTATATACACTTAAGAGTAAATATATTCTTTTAGGGTATGGTAACATGTTTACTACAAAAGTAACTAATAGTTTTATATTAGCTTCTTTGAGAGAAATATACAAACTAATCTAAGGTTGGATCAACTAGTATGACCCTTTATTTCAAACCAATAGAGGTTAAAATCCCCTTGAGACCACCTCCTCTTGGATTTTATAGCCCAACAGTTCTTTAACAACCATGGTTGTTGTGTCCAGCAAAGGTCCACAATTTTCAAACCCGATGCAGATAATGAGAGATTTTTAGATGATCAAAAAGAAAAGGAATAGCAACTTAGTTGGAAAAGTTACTTAGCATCGCATAGTGACCTTTGTTAATCCTACTTTTAACACGGACAGGATTAAGAGACAAGATAGCACTACTTTACTTTGTACGAGATATTAACCCAAAGTACCCCTAGTGGATCCCAAAAATGAAAAAACAGAAACAAAAAGAAAACTTTGTTCAACTTTTTTTTCTTTTTTTTTTTTTTTTTTTTTGATAGGAAGAAAGAAACAACTTATAACAATAGCATAATTTTTTATTGATGCTGCAGTAATAAAATAAATAAACTACCTGCTGATGAATCATCAAATACAAGATTATGTGACTGACAGTCTGAAAAATACTGTTTTGCCAGCAACCTAAAATCCATAGTAGGTTCAGCTGATTTGAGTCGTGGAAAACGCAATGGGGAAGCAATTGTTATGGAAGATGGACCATTGAGCAAGGAATCAGGCTCACATAATTGACCTGGCTTCCCTATCAAATCAACTAAATACTCCCTGTAATCAGAAAATATACTTCATGAGATGGCTATGACATTTTAATTTAAAAAAAAAAAAAGATATGTATCCGTAAAAAAATAGTTACAACACTGGACCAAATGTCCACAATAGAAAAAACAAAGTAACTCTTAAGAAGGCAGAAGCTGTACAACCAAGCATGGAGAATCTGAGACTGACAGAAACAATACAGATATGAATCAATATATTAGAAAAAAAAAACCAGGCATATTTAATTGCCCATAACCAATGAGACGAACAAAGAAAAGTGAAGAATCTTGAAAAATCCTTAGAGATTGAGGTACAAAAAGATGCTAAAAACTGAATCTTATCCCATAACCACTAGCTTCTTCACCTACTTTTTCTCCAAAAATGTATGCACTTCTCTCTTTCTAAATCGCCCAAAGGATAGCAAAAAACTACACAAGGCCAAAGGGTCTTGGCTTTTTCTCCTCTCCAAGATGGTTACAACATTTTGCCAGTACTTAATTATGAATAATGCTACTGAAATGCAAATACTTAATGAAATATGACAAACAAGTTTGGGCAAGTGCAGGAAAGAAATTGGCAGATTTTTTATGGCCTCAGTGGGGAAGACATTCATTCTCTGTAGGATAGAATTTACCATCTAGACTCTAGATATAATTACATAATATTCAAGATATAATATTCTTTATTAATTTAAACTGGGATGGGTTTAGTGTTAAGTTTATATATTTTTCTTTCTGTCCTGGAGAGGGGTTTATAGTCATTTCTATTTAATATAGTCTATTACTTTGAGATGAATGGTTTTTTAAGCTCCAGAGATCCGCAGACTGATCCTCATCTTGTGGACAACTTGTTCACCTTTCAAAATTCAAAATCCTCAATTTTAATACAAGTCTTGTTTATAATATAATAAAATAAAATAAAATTCAAAATAAAAAGGGATGACCTTAATAAATATCAATTCGCTCTAGCTGCAGCTCTACACAGGAAGAAACAAACCATTGCTAACACAAGTTACACAACAGTCAATTATCCACCATTTTTTGGAAACTGAGGTGGCTTTTCTTTTTTTGTCTGAAAGCTCAAAGCATCTGTTATCTTAATACATCTAAATATATAAGTCTGATTCATATGTTTGTTTATAATTTTCAATGTCTGATCATAAAGTATTGAATTGTTTGTTTTTATATAGTATAAACATCTTAAAACTAATGTTCTGACACATATATCCTTATTAAGTATGATATAGTTTTATATCTTATATGTTTTAAACAATTTTAAATTATCAAATTTATGAAAATTAAAACAAAACAAATGTATAGAAATTAAACATACTATGTTATTATATTTTGATACAATATTTAAAAATTTATTATAACCAAAAAAAAAAAAAAATTACTAAAAGGTATTACATAAAATTAATAGGGAAATTGTTGACAAAATAAAATTATAATTGATTAAAATGTATTAGTATTAAGATAAAAGCCAAATGTTTTAGCTTTTTACTTGTATTTTATAATTTTAGATATAAGTCAAAAAACAAAAAACCTAAAACATCTTAATCTACTAAGATTATTTACATTAAGACTTAAACATCAAAAAACAAATAGGCTCAAACTCAATTTTACAAGACGTCAATAGATATTCATTCACTGGCAAAAAGCCACATTTATTTGTTCCTTTGCATCAGAATTTAAAGCATGAATTTGACTCAAAATCCTATTAACCTTAAAATCGAACTAATCATTTTTTTCAATTAGAACATTTGATTAGAAAGATTATGAAAGCCGTTGACACAAGTGGTCACTAACTAAATGAACTATGGCAAAACTTTAGGTAACATAAAAATAATGTCAGAATTATTAAATATATTAATCCAAGACAAAGTTACACAAATTCAATCTTCCATAACATGAAATTATGATAAGTAAATTGATTAATTGATTCATAACCTTATAGATACTGCAATTATCAATAAATCATACCTGTCAAGCCCAAACCTAACAAGACAAGAGGAAGCATCATCTCGTTTGCAATATTTGCAGCCCTTTGCAATTCGACAAGGTAAATCAATAGCATCAGCTAGCAACTGCATAAATTATATAACTCTTATGATCTTCCAAGAAAATAATATGAGCCATAAAAAATCTACTGCCCTTAGAATATAGTGATGGCCCCAGAAAATCCATTACATATAGAACAGATGCAAAGATGCATATCAGAAAGAAAAATAATTCAACTCCAAGGAATAAGTAAAAATACCCTCGATCAGAAAAATTAATAAAGATTTCTATCAAGTAATATTTAAAAAACACCATATAGAATTGGAATCTTACTTTGAACAATAAAGTCCGATGTCTGCAGAGGCCAACAGAAAGGCTACCCATAGGAACTACCACAGATCCTAAGCAATCTTTTATATCATCACTGCACTCTCTCCAAATGGAAACAAAGTCATCTTCCGCCATCGCAGCTGAACCTCTTTTAACAGCAATAACAATTTTATAAGTTCAATAGAGATTGATAAATTCCAGTAATATGTAAATATAAGGTGTCTGACAACTCACCCCATGCGATTGCAGACAAGCTTTGCAAGTTGATCAACAACCTCTTTTGTGGTTATACAGCTACAAGAAATGTTCATGACTCTATTTTGGAGTTCCTTTAGGCTAGGATCACTGCGTCGATCAATCAAAAGAACTTCAATTGAAGTATCAACACTAGGATCAACAGATCTTAGAGATTCAATAGATGGAATACGACCATTCTCGTTCAGATCAGTGCAAACTGTCCATACATATGGATCCACTCCATGAACTAAATAAAATCCATCAGGAACTTTGTCGAAGTATGATAAGCATCCAGTCACCTAAAGCACATTACATTAAGAGGGTAAGGTATTCCAACTTGAAATACATTTCAATTTCAAAAAATAATAAACAAACTATACCCTCCATCCGGTTAATTAGTAATAGGAGGAAAAAGTGATAACTAAAACTTTGAATTCCTAATTGCTTATTGTTTCAGGAATCCCAATAGAACTATACCAAATAGTATAACCAGGATCATTGCAGATGCAATGGAAACATATATAATACCAATCAAGCAAATTCCAGAACACTGTAAAGCAACTTTGATGCTGTATCACTAAATCCCCATGTTTCCCTGGACAATTTGCCACATTATTAAGCATCCACCTAAACAATAAGGATATACAAACCAAACACTCAAATTAATTGAAAATCAATAAATGCAAATAAATTCACACACACAACACACATCTCCAAGTTAACTGATCATAAGCACATCAATTTGTTGCCTTCATCACATTTTAAAAATTAATAATTTGCACTAAATGAGGAAAGAAAAGAACAATTCAACTGAATTACACTTGAAAGCAATTAAGGGCCTTTTTTTTTTTTTTTTTTTTTTTTTTTTTTTTTTTTAATCTTAATCTGAAAGTAACTAAATTTTGATGATTCAGACATTTATGATTTTTTTTCTTTTTAAATTATGTCTATCAACAAACAAAATCATCCGAGTGGAAAAACCAAAAAATTTGGCTTTTTATCTCAATAGAAAAACATCTTAATCAATTTTTTTTTTCCTCAATAACACCCCTATTAAATTCATTTGATATCAAATCTGATATAACCATCATACTTTATATTTTCTTTGCCTTTTTTCCATTTTATCACAACCAACAAAATCTTAATATTATCCATCATATTTTCAACAATTACTAGAATAAACTGCAAACCAACTTTTTCGAGGATGTAACTAATTTACTTATTTCATAAATATTATTATCATTATAATCAATTTCTTAATATTATTTTATAACAATGTAATGACACACTCATCTTCAATTTATATAAATCTTTTTGATTATTTGAAAAATTCTAAAAATGTAAAATATTTATGACACTTAACTGAATATGTGTCAAAATACTACTTTTAAGATTTTTACCCTCGTTAAAAGAAAAAAACTAAAGGCTTAGATTTACACATTCAAATTTATACTATACGGTTAAAACCCGTCCAACAATAAGAAAACACAAACCAGATCCTTCATTGACCAATCAATCAATGAAAATCTATCCAAGATTCCCAACACCAGCATCTTTCAAGAGGAGATTCATTTAAGCAATCACTCCCACACAGTGTAGATGGCATGAGAAATGATTGCCAGGTGTATACAGCCTTTTCGTCCTTAAGTTAAGAGTGAAAATTTAAATTTTCAAGAGTTTCTCTTCAGATACCAGATCCAGTCCTTCCGTCTTCTGACTTGTTTGAATGACAATCGAATAATAGAATTGATCACTAACTTTCCATTAGAAACAAGTTGGATCTCTCACAAACATGGTGTAAACATACCACAAATATCAATCGTTTATTCCAATATTTTTTTTCGGGGTTAGCATAACCAAATTATATCTCTCATAGCATTAATCTATGTTGTTTATGGCCTCTACATCTTCAATGTCCATATATCCATATTCAAAATAACAGAGTCGCAAAAACTGCTATGGATAACCATTGTCACATATAATCACACCATCTAAAACTTCTCTAATCACACCATCTGAAATACATTCATTTTGTACTTCAAATCATGAAAATTAAATAACCCCACATATTGCACTTCTAAAACAAAGACATTTACCAAACTGCTATCCTCCCTAAGCACTGGAATCACCCTATTCACATTTCAACAACCGAATGCAAATTTAATTACCCCTAAAAAAAACAATCAAATTTAAATCATGATCTAAACCACAAATTAGCATACCTATCAAAATAGCTCACAAACTAATAAACCAAAATCAGCATTTTCAACTCAAAAACAACAAAACTTACCCAAAACCGATGAGAAACCGCCTCAGCTGAGCTGGCTGATCCGGACCTTAACGCGGACTCATCCGGTACCGGATCCAAAAAATTCGGATCATCCGCACATGTTGCTTCCGACGAAAGCCTCAAGGCCAAGGCCAACTGCAACTGATAACTCTCTTCAGTCTGCTGAGCCCAACTTTTTCCCGACGACGAACCCTCCTTAGGCGGCTTCGCTTTATAATCGCCTCCTCCAACTTTGTACACGTCACCAAACGAATCGATCTCATTAGCGGCGGCGCTGGATAAAGTCGGAGCGTAATAATCTCCGGACATCGAGCTCTCTCCAAAACTACTGCCGCTAGATTGGCGCTGTAGACCCATCGATGACGTGTACAAATTTCCAATTCTGTTTGACTGTTGACTGAATTTGTGATCGCCACCACTACTGGATTCCCAATCGAGTTTAGGTTTGCTAGAGTTGATGTTGCTTTTGCCATCGCCGGAGTGAGACTCGTAAAACGGCGACGAAGCGACGGGCAATTGATCGTCGGGATACTGGCTGAGGAGAGAATAATTGGATCGTCTACCGGGCATTTCCATCGATATAATCGTCACAAAAGACTAGCTATCGCCATGGTCGAAGAGTTTCTGGTGAATTTATTTTTATTTTTATTAATTTTTGGGTTTTACTTTTCTCGCACTAGAATTTGGAAGTGTCGGAGAGAGAAATAGATGGCTATATCGATGGCTAAATGGTAATATTTTTGGTATTAAATGTGAGTACAAAATTTTGCCCTTCGTTGGGAGCCGAAATCCGATATTTCGGTTCACACGGTTGAGTTGATTTGTGATTGGTGATTGGCGAGAATAGATGGATTTGGCTGAAAGTCTAGGGAAGTGCACTACATTCTGGATTAACAAATAGTACAAATCCACGCGCCTTTATGTATTTTGAATTGCCCACTCTTGTATTGCATGCTTGCCTTTTATACAAGGAACTGAAGGAAGTGATTTACCTAAAAGTATCTCTCTTTTTATTTTAGGTATCGCTTAGATTAAACTTATCCGCTTCTTTCTGAAAGTATCAAATATTCTTAATAGAATTTCTTTTATGGTTTTGTAAGGAGGTGTTCGATATTTTTATGGGGAGTTTCCATAATTTTTGATAGGGCTTTTTATATTTTTTGTGCTAAATGAATTAGAAGCGACCTCACAAGAGAGAATAAAATGAGATAAACCCTTTTTCTTTTAAATGATTATGATTATAATACGGTTTTTTATACTTACGCCCACACCAAAAAGAGGTGATTTCTAGTGTTAGAGGTTTCGAAATTTTACCTAGAGTAAAATGAGATAATATATCGTTTTTCAATTTTGACTCTCTTACTCTATTTGTTGCTTTTCTTCTAAAGTGGCTACATAACTTCACCCACTTAGAATTTTCAATATTCTTTTTTTCATTTTTCATTAAATGAATGACATCTTCAAAAAATTATAACATTGTAAAAACTTATCACTATTATTCAAACAACATGGATGGTATGTTTGCATCTCCGACCATAGGTCAAATCATATATGTATCTATTCTATCAGAATAATAGCTAATGTACCAATTTTAATCCCAAATCAGAACCCCTAAAATCCACGTACAACCCTCTCAACTTAATTATGCAAATCATTATGAATATGCGAGAGACGACTTATTGTCATGCTTCAAAATTGTGCAAAATTATTATACTAACAAGTCATAAAACACACAATACAATGTTATTTATTTATATTTTAGGTTTTCTAACTGCACTATTTTCCTCTCTAAAATAAATAATTATAAAATAAAAAATTATTTTGAGTTTAAGCCATAGCTATTTTAAATTTTTATATAAACATTTTATTATTATTTTAAATAATTCAATAATTTTAATTTTAATTATAATTTATTGTTTCACAAAACACAAGAGTTATTTATTTTTTACATTCTTGGAGGTTTTAAAAAACATAAAAGAAGATTCTTAGGATGCATTTACTGCGACGCATTGGACTGGCATAATTTTTTTAGTAACAAATTAGAGTAAATTATAGGGATAGTGACATCAACCTTAATGACATCACTATATCAATTTCACCACTCTTCCTCTTGGTGCATGGTGCATAGGATTAGGATGGTAGATGCAAAAATCTATCATTACGAAAAAGGGACTAATCCCGTGAGGTTGAGGTCACTAGCGATCTACTGCATCTGCACACGTGAGAAAACAAGCGTGAAGCAGACGGAAAACACCGGGGTGGTGTTTGCCATAGGCACTCCGACGCTCAAGTCAGTAAGACTGAGTGAGGTTAGTTTAGTGAAGGTTAGGGAGAGGAAAGGTCTGGGACTGTGACTACAGCTGTAATGCAAAGTTCTCAAGTGGAAACTCCGAGGTCTGAAGATGTAATGTCTCCGTCCTTTGTGAGAGGGCTGACCTTTGCTTAAATAGCGACTGCACGCTCTTCGAATCCTGGTAGGACTGGGAGTCCTTGCAGTGGTGGTCTTCTCAAAGAGTGGAGCCTTTGGCTCCCTTGTCTCTGTAGGAAAGGGAGTCCCAGTATGCCTAGGATTCGAACCTTAGACGAATTGGGATAGCCTTTGACTTCCTTAGTAGAGTTCAAGTAGTACTGTCGTACGTAGGCAACCGTGGGTTCCAAGTTGATTGGAAGTCCAGAAGGTGTCCTAGGATCAGAAGGCTTGGATCCAGATGGTGAGGACTGGGAAGGAGCACCAGACGTGCCTCATTTACAAAACTCCGAGTTGGGCCCCATCAAAATTAGGCCCGAGCTTTTCAGCTTTGTTGAAGGTGTCTTTGTCTTTGGGCCTACCTGGGCCGAGACATTTTTTTGCCCTAACAGTTTGCCCCCCACTCTTTGAGTTAAAGAGTGTTTAGCTTAGAGAGTAGACATTGCCTAGAGATGCATCTGGTCGGCCTTCATGATCGACCGGCTGAGTTTATGAATGTGCTACTTCTTCGTTCCTTGGAACGAATGATGTAAGCTCTTACTGTCGGCGGGGAGTTTGGTACGTCGGTGTACCATGCGAAGTGAAACATAGTCATGCACGCGTTCAGTACACCAGACCAAGTGAAGAAGTGAGTCGGCCCTGTTGGACTCGTCTGATGTACCGAGTTGAGGGGGAGTTTGAAAGTGAACGAAATCCCCTCACTTGGTCTGCCCTCTCGAGCGAGAAGGTGTGTGAATTCTCCCATGATAGTGTTCGTTCGGTGTGTAGGGACAAATAGCCATGTGAGTTGTCCCCTAGAAGTGACCTAGTTCGATTTAACGGGCTGGGCGAGCATGTGTGTGAGCAACCCTTGAAGGCGTGCCTGGTTGGTACTTCCCGCCGAGCGGTATACGATAGGCTCAACTTGGTGGTGTCGTAGGCTTCTTGGTTGAATCTGAGTGGACGGAAGTACGTGTGACTCAGATCGGGGAAACTTGCTCGCTCGGTCGAGATGACCGAGTGGTGGAGCTCATGTTTCACTGAGCAATGTTTGATATGAGGCTGGAGAACTGAGGGTGGGCAGTCAATAATTCCAACCGTCATTCCGCTCGGTAGGGTGAACCGAACAAATGGTTACCTTACGACACGTGTACGCTCGAGGAGTCTTCTGCATTTGGCCGGGAAAATCAAAATACGCAGTTCTCAATGACCAATCGTAGGCCGCCACGTGTTAGTTCTGACACCTTTTCTCTAATAAAACCTGTGGGGTGACCGATCGTTTCACCTTCTCCTTTCTTTCTCTTTCACTTCACGTTTTTTCTCTGGGTTTTGGGTTCTCTTCACAGCTTTAAAGGATTACGGGATTGTGGCCATTTCTATAGTAAAAAACTCCTTCCTTTATGCTCTTTTCTGTTTAGTCTCTTGTTTTGTTCGCTTCTGTGCTATTTTTTGGAGAGTTTGAGCAAAGGTTTGGAAAATTTTGGTGGGTTTGGTGGTTTTTGAAAGGTTTTGCCAGACTTTTTGGAGGTGCCGTGTTTTATTTTTAGAATAGGCTTGAATTTTGGGTCGAACGGAAAAGGTAGACAAAAAAAAATTCTTTTATCGGCGATTGACGATGGTTTTTCTGGGTTCTTTTCTGGATTTTTGGAAGATGGAACCGACTTATACAAGTGTCCCATTCAGCCCATCTCAGTCTGTCTGACCGAGTTGAGTGAGAGGTTAAGTTGGGTTTAGGAATTTGAGTTTTCTTAGGTCGACTGGTTTTCCAGACCGAGTAGTTGAAGTTGCTAGACTGGTTTGGAGTTTGAAAAAATTGGTGTTTGGGGATCGCTCAATCGATGACTTGAGGCGAGCATGAATCAAATAGTAATAGGTTTTAACGAGTAGGTCGATCGGTGGTGCAGGGCAAGCAGTGATCAGACTAAAGTTTTGAAGAGTAAGCCCTGAATTGGGAGTGATCGGTCGCTTGCGGAGATTGGGTAGACTACTTAATATCTGGGTCAGGGTCCAGCGGTTCGAGTGGGGCTAAGGCAGAGGTTGGAAATGAGTACGAGAATGCCCCGACCATGGTGTTGATACCCGAAAGTGGGGGCGTTTCAGTTGATATATCAACCGGGGTGAACGTAGCTGCCCTTGGAACAAGTGGGGCTATCCTGAGTGATGACGAGTCTGACAAGCGGGGGGGAGTGGGGAAGACTCCGATAGAATTGGTGATTTTGGGATTTCACCCTCTACCAGTAGTGGCTTTGAGGACGAGCGAAGTCGACCAGATGGTGGGATACTGAGCCAAGACTATCCGCCTTTATCGAAGGAAATGACATGTGGGGGATCTGGATGATGTATCATATTCCGGATTCCGTTGAGATCAGGGCGCCTCGGTCTTATGAGCGGGTCGACTGGGAAGCGAAGGGATGGGTAAGCGCCTACAAGAAATGGTTCCACGATGGGCTGAGGCTTCCCATCCCTTGCCTTGTATGAGAGGTCTTGAACCACTTCATGATCGCTCCGTCCCAACTCATGTCGAATGGATGGAGGTTACTGATGGCTCTAGAGGACCTTTGTGTGTGGCTTCAAGTGATGTTTGGGCTGCCCGAATTGATGTATTTGTATTTCCTAAAGGAGAACGACAAGGACAAAGGTCGATACCTGCTGAACCTTAGGCACGACCGGACTCACCTCGTGACTGACCTCCGGTCGAGTGACAAGAATTGGAAGGATCGGTACTTTTTTATGAGGGGTGACACAGTCTTCGAAAAGAGAGGTTAGGGCGAGATTCTTTGCACTTGGCGAGCTACTAGTGAGAAACTTTATCTTTACCTCAGATTTTGATTACTAAAATCTTATTGTGTTTCTTCTTTGCAGAGCTTGAATTCAACTGAGCCGGGTAGAGTGGGGACGGCTTGGACATGCAAACCCAGAAGGTTCTAGCCATTCCAAAAGCATAGAGGGATTGGCGGGTGGTGTTGGAGGAGGCTAACCTCAGGACAAGTCATCTCTAGGTTGGAGTACAAGCGATCCAGCGAGGTATCCCCTTCCCTTCGATGAAGCAAACCTGGAGTGTGCTACTAACTCGCTACTGCAATCATACCTTTATGGTAAGTCGAGGTTGAACCCACTAACTGTTGTAGAGTTTGCGATTACAGAAAAGCTAATGAAGAAGCTGACCGTCCCAAGTGCGAGCGAGTTTTTTGCTAGGCATCAAGAGAAACGGAAGAGGGAGTCCTCGGCCAGAGAGGAAAGAAGAGCGAAGGATGTGGTGGCGACCCCACCAAGTCG